AGGGATTTTGTCCATTATGAAAATGTCCTATATATTTTACAAAAATATTTTTATTTACTTTATGTAGGTTTGTACAAATCTGTATATGCTGTTTATCATATGCACTACTTTTTATGAAGTTTAATTTAAAGCACTATGAACAGGAACTTTTTTTTCCAGCATACCTCAGTCTTCATATGCAGGCATCACTTCCAAGGCAGACATATTCCGGAGTTGGCCTCTGTCACTTTGTAAACCTGGTCCTCTCTTCTTTCAGATGGTCTTGTCAATTGTAGCAATAGTTCTTCTAAGAGCACTTCCTTAACCTACCAAAACCCAAACAGATCTGGCTTCATATAAGAAACAAAGCATTTATCACAAGATAATTTTCAATTGCTTTCATACTTATGCAACTTTAATTGGTGATTCATTTATAGAAGCCTTAACACCAGATTCCTAAGCTATTAATTATCCAACTAGTTCTAATGTAAGTGCACTTACAGAATGCACTTAAAAAGCAGCCCACGTTGGACACCACACTCCTAGTATAGGCACACCCATAGCGTTCTCTGGATTCATCTGTTATGACTTGTGACCTACAAGTCTCAATTGCTACATTCTAGAAAGTGGTGCACCACATTGAAATGTCTTCCTACTTGGTTGGTAAGAGCCCCTTAGGTATCACTAAGCATATTTCATTATGCCCAGGTCTCCCCTAGAAGCAACTTTTTTTCCTTTAATAAGTTCTAGCATAGGAATAGCAGAATTCTACCCATGGTACATTTAACAGATAAATACCATAAATCATAACCAACTTTCACTTTTAAGAAAGCAAAAAACTGTAATTTTACCCACAGTGGACTGAGAGGCTGTTAGCATTTTCCTCAAAAGATAGGATATAAAAAGGATAGAGCTAGTCCAAATTTGAACTAATTATATGCAAATATAAAGGCAAACAATGATCAGACCAACCCAAGAGAAGAAACAAGCTCCTTCTCATCTGTGAAAGCAAAATACTAATAATAATTCTAACAGAATTGGAAGGAGGGTGGCAGAAGGCTGCATGGTTCCTGATCTGTTTTCTTTCTACCAGACAGACAGCATGAACAACATAGCGGTGGGCTGAAGGCACTGGGAAGACATAGATTGCTCCAGCGTGTAGACAGTGGTGGGGGAAAAGGAGTACCAGTTCAGAAGTCCAGTACCTAAAGAGGGCCTAGAGGAGAGCTGGGGAAGGACTTTTTACAAGGGCATGTAGTGATAGGACAAGGGAGAATGGCTTCAAGCTGGAAGAAGGTAGATTTAGATTAAATATTAGGAAGAAATTTTTCACTTTGAGGGTGGTGAGGCACTGGCACAGGTTGCTCAGAGAAGTTGTTGAGGCCCCATCCCTGGAGGTGTTCAAGGCCAGGCTGGACATGGCCTTGGGCAACCTGGTCCAGTGGGAGGTGTCCCTGTCTGCGGCACTGGGGTTGGAATTCGATGATCTTCAAGGTCCCTTCCAATCTAAACCAGCCCATGATTCTATGAAGTCAGCAAGGATGGAAAGCAAGATTAGTCAACTATCGGAAGTCTGCTTTCTAGCATCCTTTTTTCTCCCTAGAGTATAAGTAAAACCGTGTTAAAATGTCAGTTAAAGCCACACCAGCTTAATCTTACCCTCTAAGTTATTCAGCCCAGGCCTCTCACCGAGCTCTGTCCAAACCCTCCCACCACCCAGACGGTCTCCGGCC